AAGCATGGGAATTTTGCACAAGTTTACACAGTTAGTGGCACTGTAGGTGTTCGAAACTGATTTTGGAACAGAAGAGCAAAGGAGTGAATGATGGGGAAGGAGGATTTTAGGAAACTGAGTTGGCTGACTATTGTAAAAGTCTGAGCACAGGATGTCAAACCTTAGCTTCTGATGGTAGAGGTGGTACTAGACCACCTGCTAGTGGGGGTGCTAGTGGGGGTTCCAAGCATTGGAAGGCGAATCATTGACAAGACCTCATGGTGTAAATGTGTATTCAGGAGTGTCTCTTCAGTGTACAAGACAGTTAGATTGTCTAGGATGGGCACAGGGGTTGTGAGAGGGAGCTTGAGAGACAAAGGAAAAACTAACCCAAAATACCCCTGATTACACCATCCACTTTTGGACTTGGCTCTTTTCTTTTCTTTCTTTTCTTTTCTTTTCTTTTCTTTTCTTTTCTTTTCTTTTCTTTTCTTTCTTTTCTTTTCTTTTTTTCTTGTCTTCTTTTCTTTCTTTCTTTTCTTTCTTTTTAAAGATTTTATTTATTTATTCATGAGAGACAGAGAGAGAGAGGCAGAGATGTAGGCAGAAGGAGAAGCAGTCTCCCTACAGGGAGCCCAATGTGAGACTCGATCCCAGGACCCTGGGATCATGACCTGAGGCAAAGGCAGACCCTCAACCACTGAGCCACTGAGGTGTCCCAATGTAAGTATTTTAAGCTGAGGAATATCTGTCTAATTTGTGTTTTTCAACAGTATCCCTTAGTGCCAGGTATTTGAGTAAACAACTATTTGGTTGTCTGATGATTACTTGCCATAATGAATCAAACTAGGGGTTGTTGGATGGAGATGGTTTCCTTTTGGCTAACAAAGACAGACAAGTTAAAAACCCAAAAGTTTAGGGTTGAAGTCCTTAAAGTTTCTAACCACTTTAAAGTGGAGCAGTCCTGAGACAGTCAGGTCCTGGAAAGGTTGACAAGTTGTCCTAATTTCCTCTTGCTTCTCTTCTCCCTTCTCCAGTCTGACAAGATCATTGGTGGAGATATATATTTTTTAATTCCCCATGTTTCCTGATTCATGTTTGTGAGTCAGAGATTCCAGGCGGTGAATGGGTAGAGCTAAGTAATGAGTGAAGCTTACCATTGTCAGGGACAGGCAAGTTCGGGTACAAGACGGGAAAAAAAGGTGCTCACACATGAAATGAGACCTCTGGGTAAAGGAAAGGACCCCTAAAATCACCATTACAGAAGTTGTCTCAGGCAGAGGCATGTGGACGAGCTCTCGGTTCCTTACTAAGCACCATGGAAATATGGGTGATGTCAGAGTGATTGTGGCCTCAAGGTTTTGGCAGAGTAGGAGGCTAACATCACCGCCCAGGGGACCCAGTGAGCTCAGGCTCCAGGGAGGACTCCTCACAGCTCCTGAAGAGGCTGGAGAAGCAAACATGAGAAAGAGAGCCCTGGAAGTTAAGCTGCTTTCAGGTGCTGTTCAATTATCGTTCTTTTCCTTTACCCTTCCACCAGCCAGTGTAGAATCCTTACCTCAGGACCTGTTGGGTCTTACGGGGTGAATTCTCAGCTGCGGCAAGCCCCTGCCCCCAAGGAGCTCTCAGTACAGGTGGAGAGACAGACTTGACTGGTAAAAACAATAAAAGAAAGTGTTTGAGCTTTGAGGTTGGGCCTGGCCAGTCACTTCAGTCTGTCAGTTATTTGTCATCTGACCTTGGGCAAGTTATTAAGTTATTTAACCACACCAGACTTCAGTTTTTCCTCATTAAAATGGAGAAAACAATTTTTGTTTCACAGCAGGATGATTGTGAAGACTGAGGGAAATCCTAACATGTTTCTGGAGCCATTTAATGAACGATAGCATTATTGCTACTGCTCAAGATCACACAATGTGATGGAAACAAGGTAGAGTTGTGCATTAATACAGTTGACCCTTGAACAGCATGGGTGTGAACTGTGCAGGTTCACTTCTATGTGGATGTTTTTCAGTAAATTTGTTAGAAAAGTTTTGCGGATTTGTGGCATTTGGAGAAAACTCTCAAACAAGCCATGTAATGGCTGATTTGCATTTCCCTGAAGGTAATTCTGTGAAGAGGTCTCCAAGGTGATTTAGAAGGGGGCTGAGAAATTATACAATCCATTACAGTAATGTGAACGTAGATGCAGAGAGAGAGAATGATTTTCGTAAGCTCTCATATTCCACTCTTGGCAGTGGAGAGTGTGGGTGGGACAGCATGGCCGAATGGTCAGGAAATGGGCAATGGAATCAGATGGACCTCAGTTCAAATATCACTTTGATCGTTTACTAGCTGTGAGACTTGAGGTATTACCTCAGCTTTCTCATCTGTGAAATGGGATGCATAATATCTACTGCAAAGGATGATTGTAAGAATTTAATGATGTGTGTGAAGTGCTTACTCTGTGTGTTGTGCCTGGTACACAGAAAGTGCTCAATACATTTTAATTGCCAGTGCTGGAACTGAATTAAAGGTCCCCTGACTCTTAGTTGAGTGCTTGTCTGATCATTCTAAACTGACCTGACATTCTATTTAGAGGGCATACACATTAGGCAGGCTGTCTTGCTGTCTTCACTGGAGCTTTTGTATACCCGTCACTCCAGACACCCTTGTTGGTAATGTATGAGATTTCTGGATTCTGTGAGGGCTCAAAAAAGCTGCTGACAGTAGCGGAAGCTAGTTTAATCACTACTATACATATCTGCTCTACATACCAGTCTGCTTCCTCTAATGGACAAAAAAGTTTTTGCTGAGTGAGATGTTAAAATGGGTGTCTGAAGGGACCCTCTGTCATATATTTCAAGAGATCTTTAGAAATATGAAAGGCTCTGTACTTTCCCTGCCTCTCCTACATCTGTCTGGGATTGTTTAAGCATGAGTAATTAAATAAAATGAGGACAGCCAGAGATTATCTAGAAACAGACAGGTTTAGCAACTTACACAGTTCTTGGCAAATACCAGGACTTGTAACTCATTGTCCTCACTATTGGTTTGTTTATTTTTAAAGTGTGTTTTCAGTTAATAACTACTATTTTTATTGAAAAAAGCAATATAGGCACAAGGGAAGGAATTCCAAAAGTGCATACATAATTAAAAATGACTTTTCTCTTACTTTAGGCCCCTTCCTTCCAATCCTGCTCCTGGCTGCCACTACTCTTAACAGTTTCTTGGATACCTTTTTTTTTTTTAAGACTTATTTATTTATTTGAGAGAGAGAGAGAGAGAGAGAGAGAGAGAGAGAGAATGAGTGGGAGGGGCAGAGGGAGAGGGAGAGAGAATCTCAAGCAAACTCCATGCTGAGTGCAGAGCCTGACATGGGGCTTGATCCCAGGACCTTGTGATTATGACCTGAGCCAAAACCAAGAGTAGGACACTTAACCAACTGTGCCACCAGTGCTCCTTGAATATCTTTCAGAAATATTCTATGTCATATTTCATGTATATATAAGCATATATTTAAATATTCTTTTCAAAAAAACAAATGAAAACATATTCTGTATACAGTTTCATGCATTGCTTTTTCCCCACTCAACCCTATAATTTGGAGACAGTTTTGTATCTGAATATGGAATGTTTTCTTTTCCTTTTCTTTTCTTTTTAATGATTGCATAATAAATAATCCAAGGGATGTGGCTGGGGCCAAAATTGTTTACCTTCAACTTTCAGTTTGGTACTTATATGCCTTTTTCAGTTGATGGCAAACCATTCACCCAGTCATTCTGCTCCAAACCTTGGAGTGATACCCAAGGTCCTCCAACTCAATATCTAGTAAGTCATGCCAATTCTGCTTTTTTCCATTTGTTCATTCTCTTTCATTCTCATTGCTACATCCCTGGTTTAGGCCTTAAAATTCTTAAAGTGTTCAGCCGTTTCCAAATTTTCTATCTCTGTGGACGTCACACATTTGCCTTTCATTCCATTCATCGTATAATGTAAAAACTCAAGCAGTAATCAATAAATATGATTTAAAAATTCTAATCTGGGGAATTTATGAAATGCAAATGCCTGGATCAGAATGTCCAGACGGTGTAGGACCTTTAGTCTGTATTAAAAAAACGCATCCAAGTGCTTCTGATGCAGTCGGTTGTTGGACCGGTGGAGCCATTAGAATAAAGCACAAATTTCCTCAGCCTGATACTTCTCTTTAGGGTACCTTTGCAGCTCCATCTTTTACTACTCCTTCTCTACACGCCAGGGCATATGAAGTTTCTGTTGGCCTTCGGGACGATCCTAACACCTTCCAATCACACCTTTTAAACTACCAGGCCCAGTCTTTCTATGAATATCTTCACAGCCAGAAGTGATCCCTGAACTCGATTCTCAGACCTGGCTCACAGCCACATTCTGTCTTACTCCTTAGTTTGGGGATTCTCCAGCTTTCTCTCCTTGAGAGCTTGTAAGATCGCCTTCTGCAGACACCCAGTGTGCTCTGTCTTATTATTCGCGTGTACAGAGCCTTGTTCACATCGTGGCAAGGGTCTTAAATAAGGATGTGTAGGATCAGTGCCGTTGCCTGACCCGGTCACCGTTGCACATGCGGTGTCGTTAAATGTTCCTGGCTTCTAGTGGGGCTTTCTACGCGCATTTGTGGATTCAAAGAATCAAGAAGCAGGAGCAGGGGAACATAAAAAATAGTGAAAGGGAATAAAGGGGAAAGGAGAAAAAATAAGTGGGAAATAGCAGAGAGGGAGACAGAACACGAGAGACTCCTAAGTGTGGGAAACGAACTAGGGGTGGGGGAAGGGGAGGTGGGCGGGGGGTGGGGGTGACTGGGTGGCGGGCACTGAGGGGGGCACTTGGCGGGATGAGCACTGGGTGTTATTCTGTATGTTGGCAAATTGAACACCAATAAAAAATAAATCCATTAAAAAAAAAAAAGCAGCAGGACCGCGGCGGTCAGTGCCCAGGGAACTGCAAGTCCCAGCGGGCATTGCGCGGGACGTCGGCGGACGCGGTGATGCAAGGGGGCGTGCCGAGCCCGAGGGAGGGGTCGTCTTGCGGGTAGCCGGAGGCCGGGGAGGCTCTGGAGCCTAGGGCGAGAGAGGGAGCGAGGAAGGTGAGCAGGAGCGAAGGAGGGGACGCGCTGCCCGGCGCCCCCCAGTCTATGGAGCGGGGTAAGATGGCGGAGGCGGAGAGCCTGGAGACAGCCGCGGAGCACGAGCGGATCCTGCGCGAGATCGAGAGCACTGACACGGCCTGCATCGGGCCCACCCTCAGGTACCCCGGGGACCCGGGCCACCGATGGGCGGGCACGCGCGGGACAGGGGCCAGGCCCCTTCGGGGTGGTGCGCCCGGCCGGCCGCTCGCAGGGCCAGCGCCGGCCCCGCCCTTCGAGGATCCCCGCGAGCCACCTCCACCCCCGGCCAGGCGGGTCTCCGTCCACCGCCCGGACGTGGGGTCCCTGCTCAACCGCCGGCGCCCACAGCCCGGTTACTCCGCAGCCTCCTCTTGCCTTGCGCCGGGCTGGGGCAGCCTTGGTTCTGCCTCCCAGGCTAGCGCGGAGCTGGGCGACTAGAGCGCGTCCCGCAGAGGGCAGCCCTCAGCGAATCCTCCCCCTGGGGACCTCCCCCTTCTCCGGCTCAGACCCCATCCTGCCCTAGACCAGAGTCCTGCTTTACGGACAGAACATAAATTCACCCTCGGTCTGATGATCGGAAGTTAAACTCGTGCCTCCTGAAAATCACAGCCACTTCTCAGAAACGAGTTTCTGAAAATCTTAGGCCTGGGAGGAAGGAAGTTCCCCTCAACCCGCGCCCCTCTCCTGGGAGCGGGTTCTTGGCGAACCCCGTTAGGAGGACGGCCTCTTCCTAAGGTGCAGCCTCGTGTAGTCTCATCGTTGAGAAAAAGTTATCACCCCTTCTGCCTGCCCCCCTCATGCCATTACTTCCCCCCTCCCCCTTATTTATCTATCTATCTATTTATCTATTTATCTATTTATCTATTTATCTATCTATCTATTTATTTATTTATTTATTTATTTATTTATTTATTTATTTATTTATAGATTTTATATATTTATTCATGAGAGACCCAGAGAGAGAAGGGCAGAGACATAGGCAGAGGGAGAAGCAGGCTCCATCTGGGGAGCCCGGGGCGGGACTCCATCCCAGGACTCCAGGATCACGACCTGAGCCAAAGGCAAGAGGCTCAAGCCCTGGGCCATCCATGCGCCCCCCTTCACCCCCATTTAGTTTGTAGATGTCAAAACAAGCCTCCACTTTCCTCAACTTCATGTATTTATCAAAAACTTAGGCACCACTTACTAGGAAATTGCAAGACATTGTGTTAAGCAATTTACAAATGGAACTTAAAAGGCAGAGTAGTCCTATTAGGTGGATGCTATTACTACCCTCAATTTATAGATGAGGCACAGAGACTTTAAGTGACTTGCCCAAGGTCACAGAGAAAGTGGGGGAGTAGTGAGTCCTACTCAGGCTGTCTGGATCCACGTTCTTAATTTTTTTTTTCATATTCTTTTATTGGAGTTTGGTTTGCCAACATATAGGATAACACCCAGTGCTCATCCCGCCAAGTGCCCCCCTCAGTGCCTGTCACCCAGTCACCCCAATCCCCCCCCACCTCCTCTTGCACTACCACTTGTTCCTCATAGTCTTGATTCTTAACCTCTGTTATGTCTCAATTGGTGATTATCATCTCTCTGTACTTCCTGTTAATTACTCACCAAATTCAATTTCAAACCACCTTTCCCTTTCTCCTCACTTTACTGAGGCCCTGGAACTAACTCATCTTCATCTTTCCTGTTGTACCTCCTGATCTTCATGCAGTCAGTAGATAGATAATTCTCCTACCTACTTTGTACAGTCTTGGGGGCACTGTTCCTCCCTTAAAAAAGAAGTTACAAATCCCGGCTTTTTTTTTTTTTTTTCTTCCCATAGGGAGAGTTGCCTTATGAAAGAGTGTTTGAAGGAGGTGGAGGCTGGAGACTTTACTCCTCATCTCCACTGCACATCTTTCTTCTCTGGGTCACCTTGTTAGGCTATTTCCCTCTGTGCCTTCTCTGTCAAGACCATTCTGAGTAGTTTGCCTTTGTCCCTTATGGCACTGGGATCATGACTATCATATTCCTTTCTTTTTCCATTTTCTTGAGCTCTTAAGGATGAATGTTCCTTCTTTCATTATCTTTATTTTTTTTTTAAGATTTTAAAAATTTTATTTGAGAGAGGGAGAGCAGGAGTGGGAGGGAAGGGCAGAGGAACAAGCAGGCTCCCCGCTGAGCAGGGAGCCCAGATATGGGGTTTGGTCCCAGGACCCAGAGATCATGACCTGAGTTGAAGGCACACGTTTAACCTGCCTTGAGCCACCCAGGCACCCTTCATTATCTTTACTTTTATAAAAACTACAGACTGCTTACTAGTATTCTAAGTGCAGTTCTAATGGTTATTGACATTGTTTTTTTTTTTTTTTTAAGATTCTATTTATCTATTCATGAGAGAGGCATTTATCTATTTTCACAGAGAGAGGCAGAGATATTAGGCAGAAAGAGAAGCAGGCTCCATGCAGGGAACCTGCCGAGGGACTCGATCCTGAGCCAGAGGCAGACGCTCAACCACTGAGCCACCCAGGTGTCCCAACATTGGGTTTTTATAGCACAAAATGTTACTGGAGTTACTGAGGATGCTGTTTCAGTATTTTACTAAGAAATTTGGCTACTGAGCTGCAGTTTGCAGCCAAGCAAAGTTCCCACTGGAGTAGTTGGGATTACCAGAGTTTTTAGGATGGGTTCTTTATCAGAATACCCTCAATATTGTCTTGAGTTGGTTGTGGTTTTAATTGCTGTCAGTCTTGGTTTATATTAATTTAGTGTTATCAGTGTAGTTTGTTGTGATTTATTATGTTACCCCTCCACTGAGTCATAATGCATATCTTCAACTGAATTTTGGCCTATAATTTTCTAGTGTCTTGACTTAATATGCTTTACGATTAAAATATGTTACCCATTCTCCCTAAAATTTGCTTCATTGTTGTTACCGAGTTCTTTTTACCCTAGAAAGTGGGTTTTGTTGAGGTAGGTGGATTAAGGGATATTTTGCCCTAAGGGGACATGGTAAAAAAAAAAAAGACATTTGAGAACTACTGCAGTATTCTACCAGTTTTAGTTGCTTTTCCTGACTCCCTGGATGATTATTAGGGGCTCTTCATTTTTGGCCTCATCCTGTCTTGGGCAGGTAACTCCAAGATTCAATCAGTTGAACATCATATAATGCAAGTACTAGTATCCACTGTTTTTTGTCCCTGGTCTTGATGATTTCTGCCCATATTCATCGGGCAGGATTCCTTATCCCACTCAGAGGCAGCAGCATGCACAAACTTGATGTTTCTGAGCCCATGCCTTACCCTGGATGCCCCTCCAGTGTTATTATCTCCTCTGTTCTTCCATCACAGTGATTACATAGGTTTGATTAGGGCAGTAGCCTCTCTTCCCCTCAACTGTAAATCTCAAATTCCTCTACCCTTTTTCATACTCCTCTGAATGCCTTCTGTCTTTTGGCGTAGCATTTCTAAAGCACCGGATTCTTAGCTGTTCCTGATCTAGGTTTTGTAACTGAAGAGGAACTAAGGAAGAGAATCACAGTAAGTTGTATTAAATATAAGATTAGTGTACCTATCCCCACAATTCCTGCTCTTCACAAAAATCCACATAGTTACATTGCCTAATCAGACTCTTTCCTTTGCCATCCCTTGCTTGTGAATCATTGCTTGCTTTCTTTTCCTTTGGTGTTACCAAATTATTCTTCCAGTCTTACGCCTTTTTGTTTGAGGAGCCACAAAAATGGCTTGATTTTCTCACTGTATAACTATCCTTATCTTAATCTTGAACAGTGCATGCGGTGGTACTCAATTCTCATATATCGTAAGGGAGTGCCTCTCCTTTTTCATTGTATTCTGAGAGGCCCAAGCATATCCATGCATATAGAGGCTGTTGCCTAAAAAAACTTTTTTTGGGAAATCAGCCATCTCTTTCTCCTCTGACTTCATCTTAAAAATTCTGTTAGCTGCAAGTCTTAATTTTGCAGATGAGGAAAGAGGCCTATAACATATTAGGGCCTGTCTTTTTTTAGATTTTAATTTAAAAAATTAATTTTAAATTAACTAATTAATTGAAAAAAAGATTTATTTATTTGAGAGAAAGCATGAGTACAAGCTGGAGGAGGGGCAGAGGGAGAGAAACTCAAGCAGACTCTGTGCTGAGTGCTAAGCCCATCTTGGGGCTCAATTTCACAACCCTGAGATCATGACTTGAGCTGAAATCAAGAGTCAGACACTCAACCCACTGTGCCACAGGCACCCCAGGGCTTGTCTTGTTTTTAAAATAATAATGATTCCTGCTCTGTAGTGCTAATACTAAAATATTGATCAGAAATCACTCATGAACAATAGCTCTATATTTTCATTTTTCAAATCCCATTTCTATATATATATTTTTAAGATTTTATTTATTTATTCATGAGAGACACAGAGAGAGAGAGAGGCAGAGACATAGGCAGAGAGAGAAGTAGGCTCCATGCAGGGAGCCTGATGTGGGACTTAATCCCGGGACCACGGGATCATGCCCTGAGCCAAAGGCAGATGTTCAACCACTGAGTCACCCAGGTGTCCCCTCATTTCTGTATTTCTAATCATCTTTCATATTGCTATTCAGTAGAAGTCATTTCCTCATTTTACTCTTTGGTTTTAGCAATTAACATTTAGCCTTAATTGCTATTTAAGATTTTGTTTTTAAGCTCTTAAATTTAACAGTAAAATACACAGCCTTTAAAAATATAGCTTTTTTGAGATATGATTAATACATCAAACAATTCACCCATTTAAAGTGTACAATTCACTGGTTTTTAGTATATTCACAGGGTGTATAACCATGACCACAATTTAATTTTAGAATATTTTCATCTCAACATCTATTTGTAGTGATTCTCCATTCTGTCCCCACTCCCTAGGCAAAAACAACCTTCTGCTTTTATGCATTTACCTCTTCTGGACATTTAATATAAATAGAACTGTACAATATGGGGTTTCTTTTGTGTGTGTGTGTGACACCATAATATTTTCAGGGCTCATCTATGTGGTAGCTTGTATTGGTATTTCTTTTTTTTTTTTTAATTGCTGAGTAGTATTCCATTGTATGGGTATACCACATTTTATTTATTCATCAGTTGATTGATATTTGGGTTGTTGCCATTTGGAGACTGTTAGAACAA